GTCACAGGCAGTTGTAGGCCTGCAGATAACAGAAACATGTCAACAGTTTGGCAAGATTTCAGAGAACAGGAGGGGGGAAGGGGTTCCCTTTGGGGCTCAGGACTCGCAAGGACTGTCCATATCAGTCTTGGCACCTTTTAGAAGTTCGGGACCTGAGGACCTTAAAAGGATTGGACCAAATTCTTGCTTAAGCTATTTCTAGATATAAAGGTGCAGGCTTGCAGCAGTCAGCAGAGTAGAACGGCAGCAAAACTTGGCTCAAACTCTTTTGCTTAACTAAGTAATGAATTTAAAAGGTGAGGAAATCCTGGTCTTTGTGTTTTTGGAAAACACAAGAGGCGATCCTAGTAAGTATAAGGAAAAGTGGTAGGAAATGGAATGACAGAGGTGAAAAAAAATTCAAGATAATGCGAAAACAAATCCTAGTAGGATGCAGAATAAGAAATCCCAGGAGCCCTGTTATTGAAATAATTTAGAAATAGAAGAGAGAAAAAAGGGAGCAATCCTACACTGACAGAGAGTAGGGAACTGTAAATCTCCATTTTTAATTTCTACATACAAATTCTGAGAATGAGTCCTCTATTCAAAGGATTGCCACAACTATTCTAGTGCTACAACAGAGTTTTTACTTGACTATAAAGGAATTAAAAACCTCAAGATTTGTTCTGATAACTCTCAACATAACTGCAAATACAGTTTCCTGGGTTTCAGAGTTTTGTCCTTTTTCTAGGAAAAAAAGGAAAAGCAAAGCCTCCCTTACTGCTCCCTTTCTTCCACCCCTCTCCTTCCAACCGAATATAGTATCCGGGTTTTTAAGGTAGGTATTTAATTGGAATGTTTGTCTGCACAGTGTTAATAATTAAATCCATGAGCTCTGGCAGTCATATGAACTCAGCAGTTTTTCTTTGTTTTTTATAAGAAATTATATAGTCATTTATAGTCTGAACTGCATCTGTCATTTAAATCTGTATGCAATACTTCTTACCAAGAGTTCCTTCCATTCATAGGTTTGCCTAGGAACATTTGTCTTTTTGTTTGTAGGAATATGCTGAAATACAATTTCAAGTGAACAGACAACGCCAGCATATGCGCCATGACTTCATTAACAAAACCTCACCCTGCTTCACATAACAAGTCTGAGGAATAAAACTGGTGCGAGTAGCTCCTGTTAAACACAGCAGCACCTTACTTATTCTAGCACTATCTGTTACTAGGAGCTTGACACAGATCTGAACCTTATCCCACATATGTTTATAGGAAAACTTCTCTCCTTAACTAGCTCCCAGGCTGGGAACAATGGCTCATTCATCCCCTCAAAGCAACTCTTAAAAAACATTTGAACTCTTAAAGTGAAATTAAAGAGCTCATGAAGAGAAGACGGTATATAAATCATCATTCACAAAGGATTTAATGCAGCGACTTTGAGCACTGATCTCCTATGTCAGTATTCAAGATCACACATTTAAGAAACTGTTAAACAGATAAAGTTACTCATGAAGACTAATAACTTCTAAAAATATTAGACCACAAAATAAAAATGTTTTATTCAGACTAATATTTGGCTTAGACTATGTGGAATAGGACATTCGGATCGAAAGTATTTCATAATGTTTTGTGAAGGTTTATATTAAAATACGTCTTATGAATTGTTCAAGCTACGTATAACTTCTCAAAATACTTTTTTCAACAGCTTCTCACAGAATATAGCAACACTCTCATTTCTTTTTCCCCTTCCACCTATCTCCTTTACTATCTCCTACATAATAAACAATTTATAATAGACAATTTTTAGTTTTAGCATTTAAAGTTTGGCGTCAGAAAAAAAATTCTAGTAAGTGGATGAACTGTCTTGCAGAATGGGTCTGTATCCAGCAGCCATCAGCCAGGACACACACAAACAGTAACAGCAAACCATGGTTTTGTCATGTGATCTCTTCCACTGCACATACAAATATAGAACATGACCATAAAAAGTAACAGAACATGCTCTCTGCTAAAGTAATTTATTGCCGTTGATGCTAGATTGGTATGCCAGCTGGAATTACCTTCTCTTCTCCTACTATTTTCACATGTACAGATAAGAAAGGCTGCGCACAAAAGATTCCAAAATGAAAAAATATCAACGCTATTCACAGAAAGCAAAACTGAGCAAAAGCATCTTAAACTTAACTGTTTGAAAAGGGTTTGCTAGTGCTTCATAGTAGGACTTAACGAGGTGAGTGAATACACAGACATTCAACATTTTTTAAAATTAGAAGGAAACAATATTGCTTTTTGTATATATTTCTCTTATTTCTCTTTGCTGACCACAAAAAAATCTGTCGATTGTTATAAATACAGGAGCTTTATTTTCCTTTGAATTCCTTGCTCATTAGTTTTTAAGCTGCAAGAGCTGAGCTAATTTATTTTTCCACGGTATTTTCCCCTCCCTCATTTTTTTTTAAAGGCACCGTGTATGACATCCCAACATGCCAGGAAACTCAGTAAATCCCCTCAGTCTCCACACCGCTGTCTCTGAATGTCTGCAAAGCTGCTATGCCATAATCGCAACTCACTGGCTCATTCACAGCTTTACATTATAAAGCAAACAGTCTAGACAGCTGAATGACAGAATTACTGTCTTTTCTCTTGCATTTATAGATATGCTGTCATCTTCATTTGCTTTTCTCTACTCTGTGCATTCTGATACACTAATGATTAGCTTTCCTGTTTGGATTCCACATTGACTCTGTGGCTCTAGGCTATAACTACAACCAGAGCCCAGATGACATCACATCGATACAGTTCTGGAGCGGAAGGACCCCTGCTTCCTTCCCTCTCCTAGGTTATGTTGTGCTAACCAGCTTTTTTCAAAACCGTTAACTAATATGGCTTTACTAATAGGATTTTTTCCCCGTGTTGACACAGAGATCTAAAAAGCCTGGTGCTTGGAACTCTCTCACTCTGCAACAGAAATACTGCCCAAGGTGCACAGCATGTGCAGCTTTCAACTGTTTTCAGGTCTGTCTGTAGCACAGCTGAATGAATTATCTATGCAAAAAACTCTATGCAAAAAGGAGAAGAAGAATTAACAACAATATGGGGTTTTGGATACCTATCAAAAATATGTACCTAACACTCTTTACATTAAAAAAATCATAAGCAATTGGACTGGGCTTGGTCTCACTGAGAGAGGAATCTTACTTAATCTTAATATTCCTGACATTTTAACTTCAGAATGATATTTACACACCTATCATGTGGCATTTCCTCTGTGCTAAAAGACAGTTAAATGATGGAAGTATACTTTCATGTCTTGAACAAGTTGCAAAAATCTGTGCAAGCCTGATAACATGCAGGAAAGACATACAGATATACATGGCCAAATCTGGTGCTTTTATGGCGAGGCTTGTAACATTTGTTGCTTTTCTTAATGCTTGTGTTGCTGCCCAGCTGGATTTCTTGAGAATCTGTTTACTTCTCTTCTTTTTGTTTGCTTGTTTTGTTTGTCTTTTTTTTCAATGAAAGTTTCTAATCCTTACAATTGAAAAATTCTTCAAAGCATGACTCCATTTTTTTAACTGGCTCTGAACAGATACATAACAAATACCCAAAGCATTTTGTTTTAGGCCAACTTTATGGTTTGCCCAGTCTTGACTTGAGGTCAGAAAGCTGTAAGGGCAAAATTTGGGAGAAGCCATTTCAATTCTCACTTGAAAAGCAGAGAAATTCATGCTGATATCACACAATTGCAAGAGGCCAAGTGAACCATAGTTTTTACTTTTACCAGAGCTGAGACTACACCAACAATTCAGAACACTGCATGACATGATGGACCACTGGAAACTGTTTATTGGGGAGGAATATTTTACCTATGAGCATGAAGAGTTTTGTAGGCCACTGGGTGCAATTGTATTCACAGCCAATATAAATGACTGCTTGAGGCCTGTACCAACAGGAACTTTGCCTGTTCTCTGTGAGTCATGACCCACTTTTACTCTCTGAGAGCAGGCACAGCTGGAAAAACAACGGATCCCTTCTTCTCTGTACTCTACAAGAGTCTTGCTTGGAGTATCTGTGCTTTTTCTTTTCCTGAGTACGCTTGCCATTAAAAAGTTCTGATTAGAAAAACTTTTAATTTGTGTCTCTAAGATCAGTGGTGACAGCAAAGTTTCAATAATTCATCCTAGTGGTAGGGAAATCTGGTTCCCCTAGCGGTTTGGGAATATGGAGTTTAGTGAACTACTTGGCAGAGAGCTAGCAGAACAAGTCAGAGTTGAAAGCTATACAGGGACTGTGCAAGGAAGTCTTCATTCTCTGCGTGCTCCAGGAAGGAAGGTTCAAGGGCAGGCCAATTGAAAGGCTGGATGATTCTTTTTCCCAGGAACGATACAGTCATACCAGCCAAAACCTTGTGCCCTACAGGAACTACAAATGAGATTTCATAAAAACTCTATGGCTGCCCTGGGCTTTCTAGTTGTGAGGGGGAGACTTAAATAGTTACCACTAAAATAAGTAAATAAACAAACTTGATATAAAATGTTTTTTTTTCCCTTTTCTTGACAAATGATGTGCCTCCCTTCCAAAACTGGCCTAACCTGGGTCTCAGCTTGAAGAACATTCAATCTAGGGGACAAAAATCAATTGTTCTTTCGATAGCATATCTCCTGACTTAAAAGTCTGGAGACTAGCCCCTCTGGGGTTAGTAAAAAGCCATTCTATTTCATGGCTTTTCCAGATTGCCGAGACCCATTGATCCCATTGCTAGGCCTAAAGTGGGAGAGTTCCTTTGGCTTCTTCAAGGATCTTACATGTTTTGATATGGAGCAGGTTCTTTTTATCTCTGAACCATGGCTTTACAATTATTCCAGTACCACACTTAGAGCAGTAAAAGCAAACCTCTAAGTTCTCTGTATAAATAAAGGAACAAATAAAAGAAAATGCAAGGATTGGTGTTTAAACATACATGAACACAGGCTTTTTAATACAGTCCTTTTGAAACTCTGTGTCGATTTTCTTACCTCTTGAGGCTCTTGACACTGAGATGCTAACACCAGGAAAGATCTTTGTGCTTGGAAAGCAGCACGAACCATCTCTGCCTGTAAGAAAAGGAGGAATATAAATTAAACCTTAGCCTGTAACCCCCAATACCTCTTTCTGACAGCTCAAAGTCAAGTGTGACAGCTGAAATCTTTCTTGCTGCTTTTCATCTAAATCACAGCAACACTGAATGACAAAAATATATTACAGTACTGGTTTAGCTATAATATTTTGAAAATCTAAAGGCAGATTTCCTATCTTCCTCAGATAGGAAATCAAATGAGTTGATTTCAGATCTCATTTAGATGATTACTCAGAGGAGGACTTAATTTTAACCCTTCACGTCTAGGCATTTTAATGGCTGTATTTACATTCTGAGTGCATGATAACAGCTTGTTATCGAGACAGCTTGTTATCTGCTGAGACCTGTGACTTGCAAACTTTCTGCTGAACTGTACCTTAGGCTCTAATGATGTTTAGGAATGAGCTGAGCTTGGCATATTTGCTGAGGGACTATGCTGTAATTCAGTCCTCCTGTGTGCAGACCTAAAGATCATCAGCTGTGACAGATGGCAGCTGAAGATTTTTGGACAATCTCCCCTCACAGAACTTTAGAATTTGAGTTAACTCTGCATCTGACAGCAAGTTTACGTACTAACAACGTAGACTGGAGTTAAATCTCTACGCTCCCTACTGTTCCCTAGCATTCAAGTTCCCGGTCTTTTCTTTCTGGTTTTTTTTTTTTTTTGAACACTGTACATCTTCTATACCTTATGAATGATGTACATTGATTAGTCACCTATACCTATATATCATCTATAATCAGTATATCACCCATACTTCATCCAAGTGGATACCTAGTAACTAGGAAAAAGCATTATTGGTATAGAAAAGAACTATTCATAAATAGTATATATTGCTAAATAAAAACCAAACCGAATGAAATGCTGTTAAGTTAATCTGATATGAATGGGTACATTTACAGTCGTTTTGTGAAAGGGTGGGGAAGCTCATGCTGTTTTTCCTTGGGGTTTCTTCAATCTAAAAAGAAAATAAGGAAATTTTATATACAGGCCTATGTGGATGCAACTTAAAATACATAAAAGTCAGGAAATTCAAAGTTATAGCGAAGTAAAACAGCCAGATTGTGTTTATTCATCTTAAAACATGATGGCATGAATAAAACATAATCTGTTAGGAAGAAAATCACTACAAGGAAGGATGGTAAAAGAGGCCTAACTTGGACAGTAATAGGGGAAAAGGGGGTGTTATGGCCTGACAGGCTGAGATTTGGAAGAGGGTAATCATCTCTATAAATGGATGAAGAAATAAATAATAAGGGAAATTATATGAGTATAGGAGACTTAAATTTTCCAGACATAGACATAAATACCATCAATAATGGCAAGGTTCAGATATTCTTGGACATTTCAGAAGACTGACTTTTTGAGACAGAAATTTATAAATCAACAAAGTGTAGTGCTATTTTAGGCTTAGTTTTTGTGGGTGAGGAGGATCTTGCAAAAGAGCTGACCAAAAAATAATATTCTAGGAGGAAGTGATCATGAACTGATTCAATTATCCTTGAATTACAAGATGGACAAAAATAGGTTTATAGTTAAGGCTTGGTATTTTAGAAAGGCAAGCTTTTAGAAAACAGGAAAATCGGTGAGTGAAGGTGACTAGACTGAGGAACTTAAAGATTTGAATGCAGCAGAAGGATGGATTTACATTAAGAATTGAAATACTCTATGCATGTTTTGCAGAATGGAGAAATCGTAGGAAAGAGCTGGTATGTCTGGATGAATAAATAACTAAAGCAATATACTAAGAATAAGCACAGAACCTACAAAGGGTGGGAAAAGGCTTTGATTATCAAAGATTGTCAAGGAGAATTGTTTTTCAGGTATTTATCTATAAAATGTAGAAACAAAGGAATAATGGAGAAAAGCTTTGCTGATCTGTACCTTACACAGAAAAGTAAAACAAAGCCATCGTTAAAGAAGTGAGGCTATTGCAGTGACCTCAAGGTTAAGTTGGGCATGCCTTCACTATTCTTGATGTAGAACTTACCTGTTATTGAATAAATACTTTGCCTCCATTTTCAAGGAAGTGGATGTACGTGAGGATAATGATGGAGTAACTAAGGAAAATGATAATACGTCAATGGGAATTACATCATTCAAGAGGGAAGTCAAATATATATAGCTTAGCGTGGCAAAATTCTGGGGTCCATATCATCTTCATCTTAGAGTACTGAAAATAGTGGTAGACGGAAGTACAAGTAGAAAAGATTTATAATAAGTATAATTTGGGGATAGTACCTGAGGACATAAGCATGCAGTGACATACTGGACAAATATGTCCAAAAAAGGGGAAAAGAAGTTACTCAAGTGATTTCATCCCTGTTAGTTTGACTTCAACAATATGCATGTTTAGAACAGATGCTAAACGAATGATTAAAAACACAGATGCCAAACTAAAAATGGGTGAAATTACAATGTATTTTTATCTGTGAAAAAATCTGTTACTTTTGGGGATTGTTTCGAGTTTTTAGTTTCTTAGACAAGGATAATGCATAGGATCTAATATATGTAGCTGTTATATAACATGCTTATTGCAGGTCCTCATGGGAGATTCTTACTTCAGGTGGAAATGATACAAATTAATATAAAAACTCTACATTGGATAAGAAGCTGGAAAAAGAAAGACAGCAGGATGTGTTATGGAAGGCACTATTTGGGAGGAGAGAAGTTGCTAGTTGTGTTGCTCGGGGATTAGTCTTAGGAAACAATCAATATCTTTATTAGAGTTTTAAAAGTAAGAGTTAGATATGCCCTCATGAAATTTGTGGGCAGCACAAAGTTAGAAGGTATTTATATTGTTAAGAATGACTGACTCATCACTTGAGGAGAATAAGAAAACTTTGTTGGCACAAGTAATATGTCTACAATAAAATTTAGCAGCCCCCTATGTAAAACAATGCAAAGACTTGTGGCTGTTACCCAAGGAGCTGATCGGTTGGAAAGGCTGGAGGGAGACTGGGACACTTGAGCAGAAAAGCCACTGAGGTGGCTTTGTGAGAAGACCTTATGCAGTTCTAGAATGGATGTGGCAAAATATTTCTAGTAGAGCTACAGAAGTGTTAGTACCATTTGAGGTAGTATCATTTGACAAGACATTGTAAGACCTCTCGAATTCTGTCTGCAGCACTAGTCACTTGAGTTAAATAAGGATGTGCTTAAATCAGAACTGATGCAGAGAAAGCCTATTTGCATGTTTAGAGCATTGCAGTATCTGTCTTACAAAGATAAATTTAAAGTTTCACTTGTTTTGCTTAGCAACACAGTGGCTGAGGAATATGATGATTCCTTCCCATATGGAAGGTAAATATCAAAGAGAAGGATAATATCAGTACACGATTACAGGTCTCTAAACTGGGTCATGAATAATCCTTATCTCAAATTTAGTGAGGTTTAGTAGAACCTCACTGTCCAAAGAGTGAGGTTTAGATTGATCTTCCAAATTGCTACAAAGAACCAACACTATTTTAAGATAGAGCCTCATATGCTGATGGAAGAGATCACAAAACAAAATCAAAGTGCTCCTAGATACAGAAAATTAAGCTTATGAGTTTCTGAATATCTGCTGAGCTGATAGCATCAAGGAGATTTGAAAAAAAGATCGTCTGTTTAGCATTTTGTTTGGCCTGCATTAAATCCCTGCTTTTGGGTTCCCACTGGTCACTCATGGACCTTTTCCTTCACTCAAGGCATAACATAACATCTGTTTTCTTGTTTCAATTATCACCTCCTTCTGCTGAAGCAGTGGAATTTGGTCATAGCTGGAGACAGACTTTTGGATGATGTATGCTGATGTTCCTAAAGTACTGACATGCCTTGAGTATGCATCATATATGTGTCTCGCTCACCTGACCAATGTTCAGACTACTGTCGGATGTGGGGTGTGTTTTCTTCTCCTACTTCACTGCAGAGTACGACCTAGGCCACTTTCTCAAAATGTCTGGGAACTTTCTTTAAGAAATTTGCTATTGAAGGCACCAAAGACATTAGTAATACTCTTGAGTTCTTCCTGTGGCACATTAAAGTTGAGGCTTTGGGTATTTTCTTGTAATCACAAATTCATTTTAGGATGTTGGAAATGCTCGGCAGTCAGTGGACTTGTACTGTTATCCCCAAGATTTATCCAGCTTCAGAGCTTTTAGTGTGTAGGAATCACAGCACTCCTGTCTCTCACCTGTGAATTTAAAATCTTAATCAAAGGATTGTACTAACAGAGTTTTTGAATTTTACAAGCACAATTTTATAAGACTTGATAAGACTTCTGTCACAGTTACGTCCTTCTCTCTCATATAGCATTGAAAGTGGGTTTCTGAGTTCTACTACTTCCAAGTGTGTTTTATTTCTTTCCATGTATCCCATCAAAGTAACAGAAGAGCTTCTCATTAAGAATGCATTAGTTCAGTCTATCACCATTTCAATTCTTTCTTGTAGTCTTTGAAACGTGACACGGCACTGCTGTCCCCCCCTATTTGGCAGGCAGGCTGTGTAACTATGCAAATGGCATTCTTTTTTTCTGGGGACCTGATTCTCACTAGACCCCTCCCCCCATTTTCAGTGAAGAGTAACGAATGAAAGTGGACCATGAGGGTAATGTTTTCTGAACAACTTGTGCTGCTGAGTCAAAAGGTTCCCACAGAAAGCTCAGCTGAAACTCTTAGTTAGGAATGATAGTAATGAAGCCCAGGTGTCAAAAATGCAACTTCCACCCATCTATCTGCAGATAGAAATGGGCATATTTCGGAGCAACGAATATTTGCCACCTAAACATTTTGCATAGTCCTTTTGGCATTCTTGGTATTATATGTGGATATGGCAATCACCAGGCGGACTCCTCAGCTAAGGTACGTATTTTGAAGGAAGTAAGTTCCTCAAAGTGCTTCCTGCTTTGCTTTTACCAGTTTGCTGTACAAGCTGGAGGAGAATGGCAGTGCCTATGGACTTGAATGCCAAGACAGTGTAGCAGTCCATTCTTTCCC